CAGGGGAGGCTCCGCGGCGATGGGCTCAGCCCAGCTGCCTTCCCCGTGCAGCCTGCGCTGGCCACTGGCGCCTGCCGCGAGGATGCTGCTGCCTCTCTTCTGGTAGCACCTTCATCTCAAAGAGGTGGAGGCAGCATCTGAGGCCGGCTGCAGGATGCGAGGTGGCGGGGAAGGGCTGCATCCTCTGCCCCGGGCTGGCTGGGGGCTCACAGCCCCGGAGAGACAGGAAGGGGCCAGCAGCAGGCTCCCCCAGCCCAGGTTTCTCTGCCCTCAGGACCCTGTTCTCCAAGTCCTGCTGTCTGCAGACTTAGAAGGATTCCAGCATTTCCCCAGCTGGGAGGAGGCAGGTGAGGCTCTGGGCTGCCCTGGGTGCTCTCCCGGGGCTGGGGTCCCCCAGGCTGCTGCTGAGCAGGGCTCTGGAAGACGAGCCCAGTAGTCTGACCTTTGTCAGTCCCCAAAGCTGCAGTGCGGGGGCTGCAGGGGCCTGGCTCCCGGGAAAGCAAGCAGGAGCCCCTCCGGAGAGCGGGGTCACCCCGGCCTTGGGGATTCGTGGCAAGCCTCGGCTTAACTCTCTGTCCTGCTTCTCCCCCTTCCTGGCTCAGAGCGGTGTGGAGGAGCGGATCCAGGGGGCGGCGGGGCAGCCCCCTTCACCAGCACCAGCGAGAGCTCGCTGCTGCCTGCGGGGCTCATCCAGTGAGTCAAGGAGCCGCCTGGGACCTCCTCAGGGGCAGCGTCGCCTTGCCGTCTCCTTGCCTCCAATTATGCCAGGGCTGTATGTCCTGTGCGGTGCAGAGCGGTGGCTGTGACATCCTGGTGACATCCGACCAACACCCTCCACGGGAGCCGCCTGCCCCTGTCCTGCCTCCTGGGCGGCTGGTGGGATGCCTGTCGGGGCTGGGACCGCCCCGGTGTCCCACACAGGGGAGGGCAGAGCAAGGCCAAGGACAGATGGTCCGTGGAAGGGATTAGTGGGGCAAACCCATTCCCTATCACGGTCATCAGGAAAAAGCCATCCCTCCTCCAGGCCTTCCCCATCCTCGAAGCTGCTGTCTTTTTTAAATCAGCTGTTTTAATTCTGGAGACTTTTCTTATTGTCCTGGTTTCCACTGGGACAGAGTTAATTTTCTTCCTAGTAGCTGGTATAGTGCTGTGTTTTGGATTTAGGATGAGAATAATGTTGATAAAACACTGATATTTTAGTTGTTGCTGAGCAGTGCTTACACTAAGTCAAGGACTTTTCAGCTTCCCCTACTGCCCTGCCAGCGAGGAGGCTGGGGCCACACAAGAAGCTGGGAGGGGGCACAGCCAGGACAGCTGACCCCAACTGGCCAAAGGGATATTCCATACCATGGGACGTCATGCTGAACAAAAAACCGGGGAGAGTTGGCCGGGGGCAGCACGGCTGCTGCTCGGGAACTGGCTGGGCATCGGTCAGCGGGTGGTGAGCAATTGCATTGTGCACCACTTGTTTTGTATATTCTTTTATCATCATTATTATTATTTTCCCTTCCTTTTCTGTCCTATTAAATTGTCTTTATCTCAACCCGTTTTACCTTTTTTCCGATTCTTTCCCCCATCTCACTGCAGGCGGGGAGTGAGCAAACGGCTGTGTGGTGTTTAGCTGCCTGCCGGGTTAAACCACGGCACTTATTCTGGGACATACTGAACTCTGATGCAGAGCGTTCTCTTGTCAAAGTGAGTTTCAAAGACTCTGGCCCTGCCCTCCAAGCCCAAGGGCATGCTGCAGCTCTCAACCTCAGGCTGCTGGGAGATGAAAAACATCAGTGATTTTACTCCTTACTGATCCCTCTTGGTTTGCGGGGTGTTCTGCCAAACGCTGCCATCGGGCAGGGCTGGGCTGTCCCCCCCCCGACTCCTGCCAGGCACCCGAGGGGACAGGCACCGTGGCACAAGCTTGTGCTTGCCTTGCTGTGAAATGGGTGCAAAAAGCAATAGTGCTGTCAGGCAGCGGGGCTGGGGGGGCAGGGTTTAGGAGAAAGCAGTTTTCCTGAACTGCCCTCGGCTGACAGCCCTGTCAGGAGGGTATAATAAACCAGTAACTGCAAATGAGTCAGCATGATCTCTTCCTTCCTTTGGGGAAAGCTTTTGCCTTTTGTGTGGGAAGGAAAAATGAAGCTCTAATTTCTGGGCGCTGCTGAGCAAATCAAGGAAAAGAAACTGAAACCATGCACAGGCTGCCTGCTTGCTCAGTGCCTGAAGGTGCGCCCTGGCACAGCTCCTCCTGCCAAAGGTTTCGCAGGTTTTGTAGGAGCGGCAGAGGTGCCCGGGAGCCACAAAACTGCGAGGGCCGACAGGTCCTGCCGCCAGAGGCTGGAGGAGCATTTCTGCAGCAGAGCAGCGCTGGCTGGCGAGTTCCTTGCTGCACCGGCAGCAGAGAAGCATTTGCAGAACTGGAAGGGTACCTGTGCCCTCTCTGCCCGCCCATCCATCCATCCATCCATCCATCTCCCCATCTCCCCAGACAAGGAGTGACCAGCAGAGAGACGGAGCAGGTTCGACCCATTTCTCTTCACGTCGTGTGGCAGCTGGCTGCAGCCCTGAGCTGTGTCAGGTTGTGCTGTGAAAGCTGCTCCGCACGCCCAGAGAGAACCTCAGCGAGACAGCGGCAGGAGGGGGCTCAGGTAACCTGCCTGGGGACGCTGGGAGGAGCAAGAGTGGGAAAAGAGAGGGGTAAGCCGTTAAAAAGGGCCAGTCGTGTGTTAATAGTGTGTGTGCTTGAACCTCTGTGTGTGTGTGCAAGTGAGTGTGTGAGCACTAGTGAAGATCAGGCCAGCTTGGTCCCAGTTGGATCCGGGGAGGGGGTGACAGCCACGTCCCCACTTTTGGCTGTTGGATCCAGCACGATATATTTTCCTCCAACACACTCGCCCTCCCACCGCTGCTGGCAGGCCCCGTCCTGCATCCCTGTGCTGTCTGGGGAGCATGTGCATTTAACAGAAGGGTGAAACACCCCGCGGCCGCCCCCAGCGCTGACACAGCCCCGCTACAGTGGCCTGAGGAGCCTGTTTATGACTATTTGCTGCCTGTATTATTGCAGCAGCTCAGAGACCGGATGGGAAGAAGAAACGATTGATGGTGGCCTGAGGGACGTTCCCGTCCAGGCAGTGGTGGGGGGGTTGGTATGTCTCCATCCCACCAGCCAAAAGTAGAAAAAAGAGGGGCTTTGCTGGAGATCTGGGAGCTGCTAAATCTGGGCTCAGAAGGAAGAGAAGGGGTCTGAGCTCCAGGCCCGTCCCCACTGGCCCTGCCCCACCAGCCCGGAGCAGCTGGAGCCGGCAGCGGGCATCCAGCCCCGGGCTGGAACTGGCCATCAGATCAATGAAAAGCCTCTCCCAAGTCCTCCACAACGGGCTTGGGCTGTCGGAAAGCTCTTGGTGCAGAGGTACCGGGCGAGGTTTGGGCGTCCCGGGGAGAGCAGAGCGCCCGCTCCCTCCTGCCGGCAGCGGCCCTTTGCTGCGCTTCTCCGGTGCCCGGGAGGATGCCCGGCGGCCCGGCCCGCTC